AAAAAAAAAAAAAAAGAAGTTTATAAAACCAAATTCTAAGGGTAAACGAACCATAGAGCAAAAGTTAAGCTCATTATAATATCTGGTCATCTGCACAGTACATACTCCACTGACCATTCCTAGGCTTCAGATTTGTGCAGAGTGGCAGCCAGCTTAGAAGGTAAAAGATACAACCCATAGAGCATGGCTACCTATGCTTGTTTCTATACTGGCTCTCTGTAACCCAATGAACGCTGCCTGCAGAAAGTACTTGAGAGCAAAGGCTCACATCCAGATGACTAGTGTCACTTAGACCGCACTTCTTACACAGTACACTTGACATTTTCAGATTGCTTCTTATTTCTGAGTTTCTGCATCAACCAAGAGTACAACATTGGAAAACATACCAGAGAAAAAATTAAGCACATCCTCTGCAGTGCAAGACCACGGCAGCCCTCTAGCACGCACAATGAACATCTTCGTTAAGTCTCTGGTTATAGGATGTACATCATACTCCGGTAACTCGGGGTACTCATCAACTTCACTGGACTCGCCAAAACCCTAGAAAAGGAGGAAAAAAAGAAAAAAAAAAAAGTCAGATTGATTTGAAATAGGGCTGTGCAAATTAACGATTAATTTCTCGATTAATCTTTAATCTTTTTGATCGATTAAAACATTTTTTGATCGCTAATGAAAATACTCCTCTCCGCCAGCTTCCGGGAGTTCCGTCGGAGATACCGTGACGTCACCGGACTCCTACCCCCTTCCCCAAGTGGCTCCGTCGGCTAACGAAGGGATTTCACGAGTACTTGTAAAAATGCCCCGACACTGCTGGATAAAGCTGTTTGATTCGGCTGCCGCAAGGCCCCACGCTTGCAGGGAACCTCATGGCAGCCTGCTGGGGACCTCTCGGTGGCTGTATACAGCACCAGTCCGGCCGCAGAGCCATGGGGAGACACAGTACAGCTCTGGCGAGACTTGCATCCGCCCACACATTCATGGGGAGACCCCAGCACAGTTCTGGTGAGACCCTGTGCACGCAGCCCTGGTGAATAACACAAGGTATGCCATTTCAGATTATTCAGCATTGCTAATGTACTGGTGGTATTTGTAGTCCTCTATAGATGGTGGCATTCTACATTGCTGTATAATGTATTGCTCGGATTTGTAGCCCCTCTACAGTTTGGAGTCAGCGGCAGAACTACCAGGGGTGCAGCGTTTGCAGCTGTGACTGGGCGCTGGTGCTCCACCACTGTCCAAAAATCATTATTCTGTATTGTTTTAGAAAAACTGTTACAGGACAGTAAAAAAAAAAGTGCTTGGGGAAAAGTATTTCATGATTGTCTTGTTTCTCAATTTTATGTAATTTAACAAACAAAAAACTGTTGATGCAGATGTGGCCAGCCACTCAATTTAGAAACAATCATGGCCCTTGAGCCATTTTAAGTTGGACGCCACTGTATTAAAGCTTACATACAATTTTTAGTGATTGGGTTTATTACCAATTTCTTTCATGCTTACAATTTGCCTTGGGTAGGTGGATTATGTGCTTTGGAAATGGGCAATGATACTGTATGTATCCATCCTATAAAAATCTTCAGCAAATAAACTGGAATTGCACAATTCATGTCATACTCATTACCAAAGATTAAATGTAAGGATGTCCCGATACCGGTACTAGCATCGGTATCGGGACCGATACAGGGCATTTTCGCAAGTACTTGTCAAAATGTCTCGATACATAGCGTCAAAGCTTGTGCTATTTTTTTATTTTTTCTTACTTTCCAGCTGCTGTACGGGAGAGCAGCAGCGAGTCAGCGCTGGTCCACTGGGAGGAGCTCCAAGTGGGGTCCTAATTTAGCTGGCAGGCGAACGGGCAGTCGGCGGCCAGCTAAATTGGGACCCCACCTGGAGCTCCTCCCATCGGACCAGCGCTGACTCGCCACTGCTCTCCCGCACAGCACCGACGACGACCTCACCAGCGCGGCACATCGTGAGGCGCCATCATCGAACAGTGAGTGAGAGCAAGGGGGGTCCCCATTAAGAACATATTAATATTAGCATAGGATAATTGTAAATCTATTGTCTGAAGTGTGTGCTCTATATGTACTACATATAGAATACACACTGCAGTAATAGATTTATAATTATCCCCTGCTAATATATATATGGATTAAATGATCCATAGTACATAACATGTAATTGTACTATGGATAATTTAACCCATTCATGTTAACAGGGGAGAATTGTAACCATTACTGCAGTGTGTATTCTATATGTAGTACATATACACATTACATATTCCCAATACTCTGCAGTAATAGATTTACAATTATCCTCTGCTAATTTTAAATGGTTAAATGATCCATAGTACAACTACATATTATGTACCATGGATCATTTAACCCATTCATGTTAGCAGGGAAGAAATGTAATTCTATTGCTGCAGACTGCAGTGTACTGGACGTGTGTGCTGCATATGTACTATGCATCATGATTTAAACTATTCATGTTAGCAGGGCAGAATTGCGAGCGCCTCCCACAAGCTGAGCACCGAGACGTGATGCAGCGATCCTGCCCAGCGCAGACCACAAGAGGCACCGCGTGAGGCAACAGGGATCGGAGTGAAATGTGAGTGAGGGAAGCTGGGACGGGGATGGCTGTAAATCTATTGCTATAGTGTACTGGACGTGTGTAATGTATATGTAGTACATATATACAGCACACACCTCCACTACACTCCAGCAATAGAGTTACAATTCTCCCCTGCTAACATGAATAGGTTAAATCATGATCCATAGTACATAACATGTAGTTGTACTATGGATCATTTAAAGTCATATGTCCCTTTAGGAAAAAGTATCGGTAATTGGTATCGGCAAGTACATGAGGGGACGTACTTGGTCCTGAAAAAGTGGACATCCCTAATTAGATGCATATCATACCACTGGAAAATGCTCATAATTGTTCAATTCTAGTCAGCGTTTGTCGTCTTTTCCTCTGCAAAACAAAATTCAGTGGTGGCAGACTAATGTAACATCTCCTAATTATGGTAGACACACAGATTGCAAGTTTTACCTAAATTCTGCCCTTGGGTACTGTTAGCAGATGACTTGGCTCTTTTACACAGGTATGGTCAGACCTCTGCCTAAAGATGAAAGTTACTGGTGGCAATGCTGAAGCTTAAAAGAGAAGTAAAGCCAAACCTTTTTTTTTTTTTTTACTAAAGTACTCCTGTGACCCAAGTAAGCATATAGCGGGCAGAGCCGTGCTGCAGTCAGTATTGTCAGGATTCACCTGGCTGCATGACTGACCAGGGGTAGGCAACGTTGGTTCTCCAGCTGTGCTGAAACTACAAATCCCATCATGCTTCTGCCTCTGGGAGTAATACCTTTGGCTTGCAATGCCTTATGGGATTTGTAGTTGTCTAGGTCAGGGGTTTCCTACCCCTGACCTAGACAAAAAGAGCAGTTAACCCTTGCAGTGCGGAGGCAGCCCCCACTGCAAGTATTGATAATAGTTTTGCCTGGAGTTCTTCTTTAACGATTAACCACGGAAACCTATAGTGAAATCAGTTCAAGGCTGAATTTACAAACAAAGCACGAACGCGCATTTTTCAAAAGTAGTGATCGTGACAGTCACTGCAGTTAAAGCAATCTGTCACTTGAAAAAAATAAATAAATAAAATTCTATATAAACATAAAGGCAGCCTGCAATAGAACACTCTTCAAGCAGTAGTACACCACTGTGTAAAGGGTGGGTTTTTGCCCCATCTTTGAACCCTCTCCGCCCACGCTTCTGGGTTCCCAGGCACCCTCTTCGGCCACTGATGATGTAACTCCTGCGCATGCAAACAGGAGTAACATCCTCCCTTCCTTCCAGGCCGATACACAGCATATTACATATGCTGTGAATGGGCTGAGTGTGTGAATGTCGCAGGGGCGCTGCTGTCAAAATACAGTGTACACAGCAGAAGGAGATTTGTTTATCCACGCTGATACCCTGAAAGATGAAATTTGCCAGGAATATCTGTGTGTACACAACTTTAACCTGCAAATAACTTTGTGGCATAGATGGGAACATGTCTACACTAAAAGTATGACTATATATTTCAGTTAGAACATTTTAAGGAGGGATACATGGACAACGAATAGATACAGTTTAAACACTTCAAGACCAGGTGTTTAGACCCCCTTCCTGGCCAGGCCATTTTTCAGTGTTCAGCGCTGCAGTCCTTTGACTGACATTTATTCCGTCATGCAACGCTGTACTGAAATGAATTTTATACCATTTTTTGGGGACAGATAGGGCTTTATTTTGGGGGTATTTAATCACCACTGGGGTTTTTATTTTTTATTATAATTAGGAAAAATTACAGAAAATTTTGAAAAAAAAAAGTTTTTTTTTCATATTATGTTAGGAAACATTTATTATTAACCAGTTTTTTGGTAAAATATAAATTGCAAGTTGAAAGAGTTCTTAACACTTCTAAAACCTATCCTGGATGCACAGTATATGCTAGTAGCTAACCAACCAGCCACCCAGATGCCATGCCCATGCCAGAGGTGTGCAATTGTGAAGGCTCAGCAGTCTGAGGAAGCACATATAGTCTTTAGCTCACCACATGTTACCATCTGATTGCACAATTTAGATCTACCAAAAACCATGTAGTGCAAGGGCCTGGCTGATTGGATACAACAGGGATGATGGAACTGCATCACCCAATGCCCGGGACGTGCGGTTCCAGGCACGTCTTTTTTTTTATTTTACATTTAGCCGTGCTGCGGGCAAGCCTCACCCTCGGCTGCTGCTCTCCACTGTCATGAGACAGCAGAGAGCTGCGGCTTTACACACACAGAGACTATCTGCAGAGAGACTGGCTATGTCCTGCGATTGGTTATCACATGGCAATGCTTACCTTGCCAAATCCTTCCCTTCCTCTTACATCAGAGGCAGAGGTGAGTACAGGAACCAATGCATGGACAAGTCATCTATTCATTAGTTCCCGGTAAAAAAGCAGCAGAGAAAAAAAACATGTTACCCTTTAAGCCCCCCCTACTCTCCTGCTTATGTTATCTGCACTTGGACCTGTGTATTAACCTCCCTTATCCTGCATCTCCATCCTCCCACTGGATATGACCTGTACATTAGCCCCTCCTCCCTTTGTATATGAGCCTGTACTGGTGCTCACAATCTGTTCGAAGCGCCAATTCAGCTGGCCACCCTCGGAGGACCCGACACCTTCTCCCCGCTCGCCTAGCTGTGTGTATTCAGGACTGAGGAGTTTAACGGACAGGGACCCTGACACTTGTAGAGCCCTCACACACAGAACACAAGGACTGTCAATGATTATGTTCTGCTTAAGCTCACTAACTACTTGTGTTTGTTGATTGCATTAAAGTATTTTTAGTAGGGCTGATTAAAAATGATTAAAATTTTCGTGTTCGACTAATCGAAATTTTGTCAGTGTTCTGGTCTCTCTGGGCACCCCAAACTGGCGGAACACCAGAGCCCGGTCACAAATGCGACTGATGCAGCCCTGGTAGTTTCGCCAGTGTT